TGATCCCTGTCAGCTGGTACTTTGTGATCCCTGTCGGCTGGTACTTTATGATCCCTGTCGGCTGGTACTTTGTAATCCCTATCTTCTGGTACTTTATGATCCCTGTCGGCTGGTACTTTGTAATCCCTGTCAGCTGGTACTTTGTGATCCCTGTCGGCTGGTACTTTGTAATCCCTGTCAGCTGGTACTTTGTGATCCCTGTCGGCTGGTACTTTGTGATCCCTGTCGGCTGCTACTTTGCTTACTTGAAGTTGAAGCACTGGTCATGAGCACTGGGCATTCTAGCCATGCAACCATCGTAAATGTTTTTGTGGTGTTTTTTAAGTGTTGATAAAGATTTGTGGTGTTACCTCGAGAGGTAGCAGCAGCAGCAAAGCAGGTTCTGCACAGCACGTGTCGTTGTGCAACGTTGTCTTCTTTGTAGACAAAATAATTCCAAACAATGGACGTGCTGCTGCTTTCTGGTACCAAACTGTCAGATGTGTCAGCGTCTGTCGAGCCTGACGTCATTGTGTTAAAGTACAGTGTCGACTTCTCCAACTCCCTGATCTGCTCCGCTCACTCACAAGTCACGTGACCAGATCACGTGACCAGTCAAATCGCAGCCTTTGTGATTAGAGAATATAATTTTATCATATCACAATATTATTGCAAATGCAATTTATTATTATTATTGTTATTATTAGACCTTTATTTATACAGTTAGTTCCCAATGAGCTTTGAAGACTCATTTACAAGAGAGACCTGTTACATACAGGCAGATGAGAAAAAGAGAACACTGAGAGCAATTAATTGTTCAGCCCTAATGGGCTCTCTGTCAACTTTATTTTATAAAAGTAACGTCTTGTTTCTTTTTTATGCAGACGACACTCAAGTCAAGAATCATGCATCTGGTCCAGAACATTCAGTTCATCTTTGAACAATATCTCCTTCCTGTTGGTTTTAGACTTGATTTTAAAGTTTTGATGACCTATAAGGTCCTGAATGGACAGACTTCTGTAGACCTGTCTGACCTTCTACAGCCCTAAGGGTGCATTCACACCAGCCCTGTTTAGTCCACTTTAATCAAACTCTAGCTTGTTTTCCTAGGAAGTCTGGTTCGTTTAGGGAGGTGTGAACGTGCCATCGAACTCTGTCACGGAACAAAAAGGTGAACTCTGGCCCGGGCTAAAACCTAGGTCTCGGTCCGGTAGAAGAGAACTCCAGCACGGTTCCAGTACAGTGTGAATGTAAACAGACTGGGCCCGCTCCACAAGCAGGAAGTGGAGTACAACGCAGGACAAACAAACACGCATTTCTCTTAGCTCATATGGAGCCGTCAGCTGCCTTGTCTGAAAAACAACATTCTCCATGGTCTTCTGTCTCATCTTCTGCTCATGCTGAGTCCATTTTTGAAAAATGACAAACTATAACTCCTAAAACTGCTAAAATTTGATGCCACTCTGTTTTTGTTTTTATTTCCAGAAGAAGAAGAAGTTTCTTCAGAGGTTTTTGTGTCATTTATTTCAGTAGTTCACGGGGGAACAGGTTGGTTCAACAGGTTGGTTCAACAGGTTGGCTCAACTGCACAGTGCAGTGTGAATGCAAACGCACCAGCTCAAATGTAAATAAAATGTCATGAATATTGGCCCCCAACCGAACCGAGTCTACCGGACTATCAGGTGTGAAAACGACTTAAGTATCCCCTAGAGCTGTCAAGTCTTGTGCTTGTCCTGAAGTCCAGGCTGGTCCACAGGTCTACAGAACATCTAACAAAACATCTGACAGAATGGACACCCACAGTAACCATAGAAACGTGCACACACCAGCCACTGAGTTGACATGGGGCTGTGCTCATTTCTTTCTTCATAGATCTCGAGTTTTGCGTGAAAAAGGCCATACACCACGTTTTAGTGCGTACGCAGTGTTTGTACACAAGGACTTTTAAACCAAAAGAAAGCAGCTTTTAAAGGAGGAGATATGCAAAAGATGAGGGAACTAGAGAAGGAAATAAGTTGCATGATTAAGAAAGTTAAAATAAATTTTAAAGATAAAGTTGAGAGGGAACTGAGTAATGGCAACGCAAGAGATGCCTGGAGGGGACTGAACACAATAATGGGGAGGAAATAAAAAGTTCCTTTCAGCACACTGACCCTTTTGGTCTTGCAAATAAACTAAATATTCATTATTCAAGATTTGACATCCATGACTTCAGTGATGAGATTGACTCTTTCTGTGCAGCCTTGACACCAACTCCTGTGGAATTACAAGAGAAAGAGGTCATTTCAATTTTTCAGAACATCAATCCTCATAAAGCAGCTGGGCCAGATGGGATTAAGGGAAGGGTATTAAAAGAATGTGCCACACAGCTGGGTCCTGTGTTCAAACAGATATTTGAGTTGTTCCTTAACACTGGCTTTGTCCCACAAGCATGGAAAATGTCAACTATTGTCCCGGTGCCCAAAATAACACATGCAAAGACACTGAATGACTTCAGACCAACTGCCCTCACATCTGTATTATGCAAATATATGGAGCACTTAGTGAGCAGGGAACTCATGTCTGTTACAGCTGAGCATATGGACCCCATGCAGTTTGCCTATAGGACTAACTGAGGGGTGGAGGATGCCACTCTCTCCCTCCTCAACAAGGTCCATAATCATTTAGACAACCCAAAGACAGATGTTCACATGTTCATGAACTTTCCATCTACTTTTAATACGGTTCAGCCACATGTACTTTTAAAACGCCTGTGTGATCTAAATGTCAGCAGCCATCTTGTGTTGTGGATTAGTGAATTTTAAGAGGAAGACCCCAGTGAGTTTGTGTTGATAACACTCTATCTGACTGTAGGGTCTTGAACACTGGTGTTCCACAGGGTTGTGTTCTGTTGCCTCTTTTATTCTCTATATACACAAATGAGTTGCAACACCCCCTCCCTGGACAGAGAGGAA